AAATAAAATAAATAAAATATAAAATATATCATGTTCTTCCTTTGTCTCCATCTCCCTCCACCCCCAAACTAATATTTCCTGTCTATTTAGAATAAAATGTAAATACTATTGGCTCAAAGGCCCCTGCCCACCTCTCCACCCTCCTCCTATTGGCCCTTTCTCACTTGCAGCCATGGCGCTGTCTTTCTGCTTCTTAAACCTGTTGAGCTGTTTCTGGCCTTCGATGTGTGTACCTACTGCTCCCTTTGCAGAGGACACTTTTCCTTCGGAACAATGACTGTTTCCTTGTTCTCTTTTATGACTTGGCCCAAACGTCATCTCCCTGACTCACCTCTCACAGCCACTCTCTGTGGCATCATTCTTTTTAAAAAAATATATTTTATTGATTTTTTACAGAGAGGAAGAGAGAGGGATAGAGAGTTAGAAACAACCATGAGAGAGAAATATCGATCAGCTGCCTCCTGCACACTCCCTACTGGGTATGTGCCCGCAATCAAGGTACATGCCCTTGACTGGAATCAAACCTGGGACCCTTCAGTCCGCAGGCCAACGCTCTATCCACTGAGCCAAACCGGTTAGGGCTGTGGCATCATTCTTTATTTTCCCTGGCACACAACCCCATTTAAAATCACTGCGTTTATTTGTTTGCCTGCATCTTTATCTCCCTCTACCGGAAAGTAAGGAGTCCTCTGTCTTGTTCAGCAAGAGCTTATGGTCCTAGAACAGGGCCTGCCCCACAAGCAAGGCATTCAGTAAGCACTGCTTGAATGAGCCACCAATGTTGCCTACAGATAGGCAAGTGTGATATGTGATATCAGTGCCAGAAAGGGAGAGACTACTTGTGGCTTTCAAAGAAAGCTCTGGGAAGAAGTCAGCAATAAAACGCCGTTACATGATGCTGCTCATGTAAGAGGAAATGGACACCCAAGAACTGAGCTAATCTATCCCCTCTCTGCTGCTTTGGTCGGGCCTTTAGAGCCTGTATAATTTTGGTGTCAACATTTTAAAAGGTATGTCAGAACTGGGATGATTTCAGAAAAAGGACAATGTAAATGAATACAGGGTAGAAAAAAATAGCATCTGTGAGGAAAGGCTAAATGATTTGAGAATTTAGGCCAGAGAAGGAAGGCCAGTAGGTGGCTTCGGAACTGTTTAAAAGTGAGTCGCTGTCACTGTCCAGCTGCCAGGTGTTGTGGTCAGTGAGGAGGAGTCACACTGGAAGGATCCATCAGCCTTTACCCACTTCCTGTGACGGTGCAAGCAAGAGGCAGAGGCGCCACCTCCCGGGTTCCCTTTCCCCCAGTGGACCGCACCAGGCGAGGGTCCAATGAGATGCCAGGCAGAACAGGATGGTCTCGCTGTCAGGAGCCCCCTGAATACAAGGCTCCTGCCTCTTTATGCACCATGGATGCGGACGGGAGGGAAGGGCTGGGAATGAAAGGTACTGGGCCAAAGTGGAGACAGTGTCTCAGCAGAGGCCCCTCTAAGGAAGAGCCTGGGTGAATGCAGGTATAAGCGGGGCTGCCCTGGGCGGCCTGGGTCCTGACTGCAATACCCTCCACAAACTTGCACGCACAGTTGTGACTGCCCGTGGTCAGCCTGAACACGGAGGATTTTGCCTGGAGCTGGACTTCTCACCAGTCAGAGTCTGTCTGCATTCAGAGCCCACATCCCTTCCAGGGATCTCACTCTCAAGATCTGGCTCAGGCTTCCCCGTCTGGACCAGTCAGTCTCTCTGCCTCTGGCTCTCACATCTCTGACCCACCTTCCATGTCTGTTTTCTAGAACCCCACAAACGACCTGTCCTTTTCTAACGGAAACCCTTTGGGGTGCCCCACCATTAAGCCTGGTGGGCTAATTGCCCCTCCTGCTCTCGGGGGCCTTCCCGTGGCTCTGGTGGGAATGCCTGACTCTGTGCCCCCGCCCCTTGGCCTGGAATATCCTTCCCATTCCTGTCTGCCCTTCCAGCTACAGCTCAGCACTCACCTCCTCCAGGAGTCTCCCAGGCTCTACAGGGCCACAGTGCTTTGCATATAATCACACTCCACTGTCATTGTCTGCAAGGTCCTGCCCAGCAGGGACATCATCTTTGCAACCTCCTCCGTCACACAGGTCTTGCTGAAGAGATGTTGTGAAATGATCAAATGAATGACAGAAAAAGAAAAAGAACCGACGACTATTCCAAGTTCTGGCTCCGTTCTGTATCCCTAGGAAGTCCCTAGGCTGCCTCCCTCCTTCCTCACATCACCTCCCCTCCCGCAATCTGAGAGTGAAGTCAGCAGAGCAGCGGAAAGTGCGGGGCGATTCTTGGGATCTGTCTGCTAGCTGATGAGGAGTCCCCATGCCCAGGGGTTCCCTCCTGCTGGAAGAAGAGGATCCCTATGGTCATCCGCAGACAGCTCCAGAGAGCTGTGTGGTGGCAACCCCCAGCAGTCAAGTTAAAAATCAGAGCTGAGCCCTGGCCAAGTGGCTCAGTTGGTTGGAACATCGTCCCGTCCGTACATCAAAAGGTTTCGGGTTCGATTCCCCATCAGGGCACATACCTAGGTTCCAAGTTTGATCCCCGGTCAAGGCGAGCACAGAAGGCAACTGATCGATGTTCCTCTCTCACATCAATGTTACTCTCTCTCAAATCAATAAACATATCCTCAGGGGAGGATTAAAATAAAAATCCGAGTTCAAAGTTTCCATCCTTCTCCCCTGAAAATTACACCCTGGCCTCTTTTCTCATTAAAAACTTTATTTTCAGAAGCAGAACTGTTTTTAACACAGAGAGTTCAAGGCGTCGGCCTGTCTGTAAAGCCCAGATTCCACCTTCCCTAGTCCCAGCCTCCCTAGAGGTTCAGAAACTACCTAGCCTAGCTTCACGCCCCTAACGCCACCCACCCCCTGGATCCCTCTTCTCTGGGCTTGGATAACTTGTTCAGAGCTTCGACTTGGTCTCTCAACTTGTCTACCTTTCGCAAAAGCTCCATTTCCATGGGAAACAGACCAGCCTCCAATCTGCCTTCTGTGAGGGCGTTTCCATGGGAAACAGGAGAGGAAGGGGCTCTGGAGAGCAGCAGGGGCCTTTACAGGCAGCAGAGCCGCTCAACCTCCTCCTCACAGGCATAGAACTTTTCAAATAGCCCAGGGGAGGTGCGATTGCACTCAAACCACCTCCTCAGTGTGCCCAGGGCCCGGAGCGCGTCGGCTTTGGTGGGCAGGGGCTCGAAGCTGTCCTCACCAGCCCCCTCATCTTTAGGGTCCACCTCCTCTTTGCACACTCCAGGTATGGGCTCCTCACCCTCCAGGTCCACAAAGCGGGAGAACTCCTCGAGGCTCAGGCCGCAGGGGACGGGTGGCATCTCAGAGGCTTTGTCCAGGGACAGGGGCATTTTGCAGGGAGCCAGGCCTTCCTGAATGAAGCTGCTTACGATGGACTGCGGAGGCACCTTGGCCCAGGCAGCCGCCACCATGTGCAGAGTGTCCAGCACTGTGATGCCTGCCCCAGCCTCAGCCAGCGATGTGCCAGCCCTCTCGCTCTGGACAGCTGTCAGCTTGCCCAACAGACGGTGCCGGTAATGGGCCTTAAAGGCCCGGACCACAGAGTTGGGCAGGGAACGTGTGGTGCTAGCGGCAGAAAGAGGCAGGAGCCTCACATGGCAGAGCCCAGACAGGCCTGCCAACTTCCCCGCCACTTGGGCAGCCAGCAGCAAGGCTACCTGTCGGCCCTGCCTCCCCATGTCCCGGTCAAACTGTGCCAACCACTCTGACCAGGGGATGCCCAGGTCAGGGTGGTAGGAGGCAGGCAGAGACTCACTGCTGACCCCAAAGAAGCACCTTGGTGCAGCTGGGAGCCCACTGACCAGTACCCGTCGCTTCTCTGTGCCCCTGGTGTTGGCACACAGCAGCACCTGTACTTGGTCACCTGTGCCCACTGTGCCGGGCACTGCCCGATACAGCAAGGGCACTTCAGCATAGCCAAAAACATCCTCTGGGGAGAAGTCTTTAAGGGAAAGAGGCAGCTGGGTCTGGGACGTGAGGCCTGAAGGAGGTGGCTCGGGGGGAAACGGAGGTGTGAGCACATGGCGGGCCCCAAAGCCCACATTGTTTCGGCGTTTCCAGCGGACCAGCCAGCCGATGCTGGGCACGAAATCCTGGCCCATGATGTCGGCCAGCTCCTTGGCTTTGTGGAGCAGCATGGGCCCCGTCACGTCCCAGGCCTTGGCCCGGGCGATGTGGTACCAGCAGAGCAGAGCCTCGTCGATGCTGCTGTACTTGGACTCCCGCTTGCGCTTGCGCTCCCTGTTGGCGGTGCCGCTGCACCAGTCTGCCAGCAGCTTCTCCTTATTCTTGCAGATGCGTGAGATCTGGGGCTGGGAGACCTGGAAGCGCCGGGCCACCTCCGACTGGGACATCTTGGACTCATCCAGGAGTTCCAGCACCTGGATCTTCTCAGCCAGGGAGAGGGCATGTAGCTTCTTCTTGCTGCTCAACTCCATGGCTTCTCCAGGGCACCTGTGGGGGAGAAAATTGGGCCATCTGGGAAAGGGTGAGAGGGTGTGAGGGCTGGGCTGAAAGAGGAAGGGACATGGCTAGGCTGAGCGAGCAGTGGGCTGGGCGCTGACCCGGAGGAATGCCAGAGCACAGCTGGCGAGGGGGTGGCTCACTGGTCAGGGGAGGGGCGTCTGGGCTGGGGTTTGGTATAATTGGGGGACGAAGATGAGTAGGGCCAAGGGGACAGCTGCAGAGCCAACAAAGGAGTTTGGTGGGGGAACATGGGGCTAGGGCTGAGTGGGGCAGTTGTAGGTCAGACAGTCAGGGCTGGGGGAGGAATCCGGGGGAGGAAAAGGCGGGTGACGGCCTGGGCTGGATCTAGATAAGATCTTGGAAGACGGGGTGGTGGAGTGGAGCAACAGAGTTGAGGTGACAGGTGTACAGATGACAAAGAGAGAGAGAGGGATGGGGCGGGGGTCCGGTCTGGAGAGTAAATGGGAGCACAAGGCCGAGAGGGCAGGTGCACAGACGACAAAGGGCAAGAGGGGTGAGGAGGCCACGGC